CTCAGTGAGAGTGACTCACTTCAGTCCGAAGCACAAGTCAGATTTAAGGTTTATTCGCTTATTGATCAGATCAGATTTTCCTGTTCGCGTACACAAAAATCAGCAAAGTAGGGCAAATTGAGAGACCAAATTGACATTTCATTCTGATAGAAAGCTTCTTGTTTCTGCTGGAAAAATTTTTGCTAGCAGCCATTTGCCAGCTAGAAAAACAGATGTTCAAAGTCATCTGTTTTCAAGTTATGAAAATATGGAAATTTATTTTAGATTTAGATTTATTATTATGATTTTTAAGTTTAAAATAACTTATTAGAACTGCAAATGTATCGGAAGAAAGCAAATATGTACTCATTTACTTATGTTTGATTAGCAAATTGCTTTAGGAAAACTTTTAGTTTACATATATTCTTTTCATGTTTTCTGTTTTATGCTTTTCTATGTAAACAAAATTTCGATCAACTGTACTAAAAACTTGAAAGCTTTTGCTGGTTTTGCGTTCGCGTACTTTTGCTAGCATTTCTCTCTTTAAGAGAGATCAGATAAAAATTCATTAGAATTTTGCTGCTGAGAGTTTTCTGCTGGAAGAATATGCGAACACACCTTTAGTCCGAAGAATTTTTGCTGGCAAAATCTTGAAAAGTTGCAAACTCAACTGAACTTAAATTAATGGAAATTAAAGAATACACGAAAAGCGAGAATAATCTAAAAACTAAGAAAAGTGAATTGAAAATGGAAGGAGGCAAAAAATAGTTGATATACGGGTAGTAAGTGTTTATTGCATCATTCAATAATACAAGGTTCGAAACTGGCAGTTGTCTCTTTCGCACCGATCCCTTTGCAGTGGCACCTTGTTGCTTCTTTGCAAATTTACTTGGAAAAAGTGTAGCTTTGTTGTGAAATAGAAGTATAAGCTTTTGTGCAATAGTTTATTTGTATATGCATATGAAGCACATTTAACTGATGAAAAGATAAATTGTTTTTAAATTGGATGTTTACATAAATCTCATTTTAGTTTTATTTTAATTTTGAGTCCTTTTGCAGTTTTTATACAGCTAAATAGCACATAAATTACGTAATTCACGTAGATATATTAATATTTTGTTTAAAATGCCAGATTTCCGGCAAATACATTAGAATTTACAAAAGGAATTTCCTACTAATTGCCTACTTTGCGTACTTTTCTACTACCATTTTCGCAACAAGGGATTGCATTCTTCTCCTTTCTCTTGCCTTTTGTCAAACCGCGGCTGTCAATAATTATCTAACCTTGTATTATTGAATCATGTGTTTATTGTGCTTGTGCTTGTGTGCATGTGTTTTGTACAAACATTTCTATTCGTATTTGACGTTAGTTTTGTTGTTGCCATTCTTTGGACTAAAAGTTAGGTTTTTTGCGTTCCTTTACTTTTTCCTGTTATTCTCTTTTAGTGAGCGCATTTGGCTTACGCTCCTTCATTTTGACGCTTTTCAGATTTCAGTCAGAAAAGATAAGGAATGGACCTTATATTTTCAACATGGTTTTTTCTATGGACTCCAAAGGTAAAAATACTTCCGTCTCTCTTTATTATGAAACTAATTGAAGCAGACTTATCTCTACTACATGTCAAGTATGACATACCGTCGCATCGTTTTTTTAAGTTCCTTTTGCGGAGGCGGTCTTCGGCCGCGCTTAGGGATTAAACCCTTACTAAGTACAATTCTCCTTTCTGTGTTGCCGAAGAAGAGGGGCGGTGACCGTGAAGGAAAGCCGCCCTGAAACTTTTGAAAATTGTTTATTGAAACAAACGGTATTAGTATATTCACCAAAAAAACCTACAAATATGACTCCCATACCTAGCCGGATGTGAGGGCAATAAGAGTCTAGTATTAATAATTTGTGCCTATAAATGCTTGCTGGGAAGACGTAGATCCGCATGCCGAGATGTTCGTTCACTTCAACGATTACAATGAAATGATGTTTGAACAACTTGTCGCATAGGTGTATACTGAACTGACAAGCGTCCAAGTATGCCTACAAGTCTGATTGTGTATATTCTGCTTAATAGGGCCGTCAGAATGGGTACTTGTACGTCAATAACGGAAAAGTATGCGAAGGAAGTGGCGCACGTACCGTAGAGATACGCCACAGTGAAGGTGTTGCGTCTGCAAACAAAAATCAGCTGTTCCTTATAGCCGCGTGCTTGGTGTTCACACAAGTCCATTTTTCAGAAACAATAGCGAAACATTCACATTATTTTACTAATATATTCACACTTATCTTGATGTCTTCGTCACTGTCTCTGGCTTTTCGAAAAGAGTTTGTTGTCTGGATGCCTACTTTACTCATACAATGTGTAAATTAATGCATATTCTCAATGGTCTTTTCTTATGTAAATACGGTGTTACACAACTGTCAGCAGTGACGGACTTACGTGCGACAAAAGTTGAGTATTGGCCAACGTTCGTTGGGTCCGTCGACGCAAGGGTTGCCAATCTGACGCTCTCTATGCAAACACACACAGTCTACTCAACTGTCAGTTTCATCCTTGAGCGGAACGTACGCGAAGTACCCATTCTGACGGGGTCATAAGCCTTCGCGTGTAACTGATGTTTTATACTTTGACGGAAAAGTATTCATTTCCGGTAAAATCGCGACTAAAAAAGTTGGCATGCTCTTGTTATCGGTGTATCGATAATACACTTTGGCACATTTCTACATTAATTTAGTACTATTTATTCCATTTCTGTATTTTACAAAATTTGCTATCGGAAAAAAACTAGAGTTGGGGGTAGTGCACTAAATTTTGAATGCACTAGGCATTTCACTAGCAGTAAATATATTGGGAGAAACTATATTTTTCACTATTTGTCACCAGCTTAGTGATAGTGGAAAATTTCTGCACTACCACTATTCCCGTGTCTGAGAGAATCATTTCCTGCCTTCGGTTGAAAAAAAACACAAGTATGCACATAGATATGCAATATACATACGAATTATATACATTAGGACGGGTCAAAAAATCTCCCTTACAAATTGACCCGCCTTAATATACCTACATATTTTATTTTCTCAATTTTAAAATTTCTAAAGACAAAAATAATTTACACAAACAGCCTTTTCATTCGTTATCGCGTTTAAATTGATCAGTTGGCTGATATTTCATTGGCTAATCTTAGTTTAAACCAGACAGCTCGGGCGTGTAAACTATGTTTAAACCACAGCCGTGCACTGAAAAATTGCCCTAAGTCGCACAATTAGGTTTTTTCTTAAGTAAATTAGATTTGACTACACATATTTAATGCTTATTCGCTTAATGTATTTCTCTTTTTCGTTTTGATGTCAGTAACCATTGAACATATTTACTGTCCCTTTGTTAACGACTATCTCCCAAACGTTTGCTTATCGCAAATTTTACTGTTTTCATTTCAAGCAATAGAATCACTCAACATACTTTTCATAATCTACAAACTCTAAACATTTGAAAAAAGCATCGATGGTTGGAAATTTTTCTAATGGTTTCAAAATACACAACTTCTAGAGTTCCCCACACGTTTTTCTAACTTATATCACTTTACTTTTCCCAAATTACTTTCTGTATAACTCATAAACTTGCTATTAGAATTAATTTAAAGTGAATGAAGTTCCGCTGATATGGTTCATATGAACGGCGTTAATTTACCACAGAGAGCAGCGTTTTCTTATTTATCAATTACTAAAATTTCTTGCTTGGAATGGTATGCGAAAATCCCGTTTTTCGACAGAAAATCCCATTCGCCATTTTTAGTTACAAAATCCCGAAAAAGGGCGAAATCCCGTATACTGGCAACACTGGTTTATACCCAGGTGCGGTTCCCATGCCCTGGGAGGTTCCTGTGCCTGAAATGCCTGAAGCACACGAAAGTTCAGAAGTGACGATATCATCTATTGATGCCCAGACGCAAACTGAGTAAGTCTGCAAGAAATAAGTAGTTTCTTACAAAAGAAACTTAACGCACAAAACCATTGGGCGAATAAAAACAAAAAAATGCTTAAAACAATTTCATAAAAACTTTCATTCGTTTTATTTACGTGGCTTCCTTTATGAGGTATTCGTTTATGTCTATATCGAGCCCTAACCGCCAAAATAACGTAAGCGACATTTTTTTCAAAATTTTATTTTTGATGCAGAAATATTCCTAGGGCATCTAAATGTATTTCTGCATCAAAACGAAAATTTTGAAAAAAATGGCGCTTACGTTATTTTGGCGGTTAGGGCTCGATATGTATCTGTACATGTAAGATGCGAATGCAATTAAAATTCTTCGAAGATAATATTGAAGTAATTCTTAAAATTAGTATACGTACATACGTATGTATTTATGCATGATGCAGAAAATGAAGGTGGCGCCATTCGCAGGCCGCTTCGTCGATTTGACAGCATCCACCCATTCGCAGACGTCACACAATACTTTTGTTTACATTCACCGTTGCCAACCTGGTGTTTTTCGCACTAAATTTAGTTATTCAAAACGCGAACATTTTGAGTTTGGTGCTTGGTGCGTTTTTGGCGCTTTTGTTTTTAGTTTGAAGACACCAAATATGAAAATCTTAAACAAATTGAAGCCGTTTTTTAGCAAAGTTATAGAAATCTTACAAAAATTTAAACAAAATCGTGGCACAGTGACAATCAAAATCGACAACAAAATATGTGGCAGCACCAAAGAACGTTCTTTGCTTTATCTCACCGCACTGCCTCTCTTGGCAACAAACAGGGCTCGAATCGTCACATACGATGTCGTACTACTCGTCACGTAAAAACCCATTTTTCGGATTATGGCATACGTGAACGTACTCTGTGTCCCATTCAGCTTATACTGCCTGACGTATCACGTAATTTTCTTTCGTATCGTTTTCGATCAGTGAACGGATGTTACGATTCGAGCCCAGAGTTATTCTGGTGGCAGAAATGTTCGAGTGTGAAACCTACCAAAAGAAATAGGATATGAAAATTTCACTTTATTCTTCTGTGACTGATTTCCCTTTATTTTTTGACATTTCGTTTGTTAACGACTTTTTCTGGCCGCAGTTTGACCAGCTCTTGACGTTTTTACATAATATTCTTCCTAAAGGGTCGGTCCTGACTTTCTTGGCAAATAAAACAACTTTTTGTGCTTTAATTTAAAAAATAATAATAATTTATTTCTTTTTCAGCAGGCCGGAAGTTATATACAATGTCACTGACACAAGTCGTACGTAGTTGCAGCCGCTTTGCTGCTGCATCGAAGGCACTGCGTGTGACCGCCGCAGTCTCGTCCACTGCCCAGCCACAGCTGCGTATGATGCACAGGATTAGTGTCAACACACCTGCCATGAGCATTTTGCTTAATCAGGTGAGTAACTAAACAATGCACAGAGATACAATTAATGATTTTGAAAAGTACTTTAAAAATGCGTGCAATCAATGCGTTGTCTTAACCTCAAAGTTGCAAAGAAATCGGTGATACAAATATGAAAAAAGACCTATTTCAAGTATTTAAAGATGTTGGACTACGTAATCGATCATAATAATTGTTATGTTTCTTGCAACACCATAAAATTCCCCGAACAATCATAAAAGTCATATATAGTTAGTTCCATGGTTTCGCTAAAATGTTGATTAAAATATGAAACTGTTTTAAGCAAAGAAATTGCAACTTGTAAACTAAAGAAGTACTCATGTAATCAACCGATCTGATAAGTATATATATACATACGTATTTTTGTTTGCTAAAGTAACAGAAGATTTTCACATACAGATGTGCATACAACCATGTAGTTTAAACCTTTATACATGTAGTTATGGAACTATCATATTTATTGTATCATTGTTTGAGCATACCTATTCTATACATATTCTATTCTACATTCA